TCCCCACCCCAGCCCACGCCCACCGCGAGCCGGTCCATCCATTCCTCTGTGGAAGACGCCTCCCTCCCCGGGAAGCGGCGGCGGCGGCGGCGGAGGCGCCCGGGAGAAGGGAGAATGTCTCGCTGGGCGGCGCGCAAGATGCTCCAGGGCCCATGGGTCCCAGGCACCTTGGAACTTGGGTCTTGGTGCTGTGCGCGTGCACGGTGGGGGCAGAGGCAGGCCCCGCCCGGGCCAGGATTCTCTGAGGCTATCTATCCTTAGTCCCACCCGGCCATCGGGCCTCCCACCTTGCCTTGCCTGTGGAGAGTCCCGGCCTATGGAGAGTCCCGGACTAGGAGGGGAAGAGTGTGTCTAGGCCCGAACTCGGGAACGTCTTCCCCTTCCAATGGATGAGACAGCTCGGGCAGGGCCCCGCAGCCAGAAAGTCTGTCTGTCTTCACCGGATGGAGCACCCGGTGCTTGAGCAAGGAGGGCCTGCCGGCCGCACAGTCAAGCAGGCGGACGCACAGCCAAGCCAAGCCAGAGCCTACAAAACCAGAGGCACAAACATGCAGACACTCGTGCACACATCCACACCCAGACACAAACCCCAAGCCTAGCCACACGAACATAAAGGGGCAAGGATGTCCAGGGCAAGTTGGAACACGGGTCTCTTTGGCGCTCAGCTCCGTGGACGGTGGGGGTAGAGGCAGGTCACCGGGCCAGAATTTTCTTAGAGCCACCCGGCCACCCGGCCTCGCACCCACCCGACGCTGCCTCCATCAAGGAAGAGCCAAGCGTCTGAGCGCGCGCGTGCGACCTTCTCGCAGCTGGACCCGACCGGACTGTGTGCCGTGGGACGGATGGCCTCTCAAAGCACAGCACCACGGACCCCCCCGCTCTGTGGGACCTGCTTCTGCCATACAGAATTCCCACGCCGCCGCCGCGGGCTTAGTGGGACAGCGCCTGCCCGACCCGTGACTTCCTCTTGCCCTGGGACCCCGAGCTTCCAGGTCCGGCCCATCTTGGACCTGGCTGCTCTGCTCGGCCACCACCCTACTGACTCCTACTGGCCTGCGCCCAGGCCTTGGCCTCTCCGCATGGGCTCTGGAGGCAACCACCTTGGGCTCTCTGGCATCCCATCCCACCGGCGACACGCGCAGCCCCCCGAGGGCACCACTTCACGTGGACTCACACTCACGCACGCACACACGCGGGCCTCCACACACACGCTGGACCACACGGAATCACACTCGGGCATGTGTGCCCCCCCCCACATACACACTCACACACACACACACACACACACAGACACGCACGCACGAGCCAGGGCGCGGGCACGCACAGAGGCCCGCGTGCGTGTGCGTGCGCGCGTACACACACACGCGCACACGCACACACACGCACCCCCCCACACACACACGCAGGCACGCACGCGAGCACCCGCCCTCACACACAAAACATGCAACGATGCAGGAATGAGGCTACCCAGGCACACACGATCACAATGCCGCCTACCCGATCACACGCACACCCACAGGGGCCTACTCACCTGTGCACGCACCCAAAGGTTACACACTCAGCGAGGGAGGGAGGGAGGGAGGGAGGCAGGCAGGCAGGCAGGCAGGCAGGCCCGCAGGCACGACCCTGAGCACAGCCTCCCCCATCCGGTGGGGGTCCTGAGTGGGGGCGGTGGAGGGCTCGAGTGGGAGCCTTGTTCCTCTGGCACTGCTTCCAAGGGGTAGGGTGTGTGGAGGTGGTGGGCGGCTCTGTCCCCGCCCCTCGGCCCCACGGAAACCCCCTCCCCGCCCCCCTCCTCTCCGTGCCCCGGCGGGCCGGAAGCGTCCTCCCAGACCCCGGCCAGGCCAGCAGAGCCAGGCGGGCAGCCAGGTGCGATGGAGGCCCGGGATGTGGACGGCAAGGCTAGCCTGGGCTGCCGACACGTCAGTCAAGACCTGCCTCTCTCATCCGATTGTTAGCTTCTTCTTCTTCTTCTTCTTCGGGGGTCCTGGGATCCCCACTCGCGTGTTTCCCCCCTGGTGGGTTTGCAGCGTGCCTGAGGGCTGCGAGCGCACGCTGCCGGGTAAGAATTGGCAGCCTGACCGGCGAGGGGGAGGGCGACGCGGAGAGGCCAGCCTGGGCTGGGCTGGCCGGGTGGGGCCCGCGGCCGCCAAGGGCCTCTCAAAGGCCAAAAGGGGCAAAGGCAAAAAGCCTACAGCACCCGGTATTCCCAGGCGGTCTCCCATCCAAGTACTAACCAGGCCCGACCCTGCTTAGCTTCCGAGATCAGACGAGATCGGGCGCGTTCAGGGTGGTATGGCCGTAGACGACGGGGCCCGGCGCCGGGAGCCTCAAGAGCCTGGCCGCTGCGCTCAGCTCCTCGGCTCGCCTGCCTGCCGCACACTCCGAGCCCAGCTCCCCCACCCACCGCCCCTGAGCCCGGCTCGAGCCACACCCCTCCGCGCCGGGACAGCCAGCTCGGCCCTCCTCAGCCCTCCGCCCTCTGCCCGCGTCCCTGGCCCCTGGCCCCTGGCCCGTGGCCCGTGGCCCGTGGCCCGTGGCCCGCAGCAGGGGCCCAGGGCCGGCAGTGGCCAGCGTTTTCTCCCCGGACCTTCTCCTCTCCCGTTCCTCATCGGCCGGCCGGCCGCACTCACCGGGCCCACCCGGGACCCTGGCAGGTTGGCTGGCCCGCAAGCCTGCTCCTCCCTCTCCCCGGGCCTCGGGCGGGCGGCTCCGGTGTGCACGCGCCCGCACCTCCCGCTCCCCCGGTCGGGTTTCCACGGCTGCGGGCTCTGACGCCTCGGGACCTTGCTTCCGGGGCAGGGTCTGCCTTGGGTCCCCGACTCGCCCGCCCCACCCGGGGATCTTGCCAGGTAGCCAGCCCCTGGCCTTTGGGGCGGGTTAGAGCCCTCCTCTGACCCGCAGGCCATTTCTGTGCCCGTGGGGGTCCTGGTGGGGAGGTGGAGGTCGGAGGGTGGGGAGGTGGCCTCCGGGGGTGGGGGTGAGGGTGGGAGGAGGGGTTCGTGGCCCGGCCCGGGCTGCTGCGCTCTGACGCTTTCTTTCCTGGCTTCCTGGGGAGGGGAGGTGCCCAGGTAGGCGCAGGCAAGGCGGCCGGATCATGATCGTGCGGGTCATCCATCCGCCGAGACGGGGTGGACACCCTCCTGACGCTGCTCCCCCGAGGTAGGTGTGGTGCCTGGATGGATGGGGTGGTCACCCCGACTGTCTGTCATATCTCACCCTTGGGGAACTGTGGGCTCCTTCTTTTCCTCCTCCTCCTCCTCCTCCTCCTCCTCCTCCTCCTCCTCCTCCTCCTCGTCCCCCTCCCGTTGCTCCTTCCGACTTCTCTTCATCTTCTCCCCAGGAGACACACACACACACACACACACACACACACACACACACACTCACAGGCGCACACGCACACAGACACAGACACACACACACACACACACACACACACACACACACACACACACACACACTTCCCTCCCTCCTGGAAAATCCAGGAAGACGGGACGGCTGGGATCGGGCTTGAGAGAGCTCGGGTGGGGGTGTGGGCATCCAGGATGGACCTTGGTTCTCTCTCTGGAACTTGGAACGCCAGCTCCTGGGCTCCGGGTTCTGTCCCCACCCCAGCCCACGCCCACCGCGAGCCGGTCCATCCATTCCTCTGTGGAAGACGCCTCCCTCCCCGGGAAGCGGCGGCGGCGGCGGCGGAGGCGCCCGGGAGAAGGGAGAATGTCTCGCTGGGCGGCGCGCAAGATGCTCCAGGGCCCATGGGTCCCAGGGACCTTGGAACTTGGGTCTTGGTGCTGTGCGCGTGCACGGTGGGGGCAGAGGCAGGCCCCGCCCGGGCCAGGAAAATCTGAGGCTATCTATCCTTAGTCCCACCCGGCCATCGGGCCTCCCACCTTGCCTTGCCTGTGGAGAGTCCCGTCCTATGGAGAGTCCCGGACTAGGAGGGGAGCGTGTGTCTAGGCCCGAACTCGGGAATGTCTTCCCCTTCCAATGGATGAGACAGCTCGGGCAGGGCCCTGCAGCCAGAAAGTCTGTCTGTCTTCAATTGATGGAGCACCCGGTGCTTGAGCAAGGAGGGCCGGCCGGCCGGCCGCACAGTCAAGCAGGCGGACGCACAGCCAAGCCAAGCCAGAGCCTACAAAACCAGAGGCACAAACATGCAGACACTCGTGCACACATCCACACCCAGATACAAATCCCAAGCCTAGCCACACAAACATAAAGGGGCAAGGATGTCCAGGGCAAGTTGGAACACGGGTCTCTTTGGCGCTCAGCTGCGTGGACGGTGGGGCTACGTAGAGGCAGGTCACGGGGCCAGAATTCTCTTAGTGACACCCGGCCACGTACCCACCCAACGCTGCCTCCATCAAGAAAGAGCCAAGGGTCGGAGCATGCCTGCGCGACACCTTCTCGTGGCTGGACCGGACCGGACTGTGTGCCGTGGGACGGATGGCCTCTCAAAGCACAGCACCACGGATCCCTCCGCTCTGGGGGACCGACTGGCTTCTGCCATAGAGAATTCCGCCTCCGTCGCCGCCGGCTTAGTTGGACAGCGCCTGCCTGAGCCCTGACTTCCTCTTACCCTGGGACCACGAGGTTCCAGATCAGGCCCATCTTGGACCTGGCTGCTCTGCTAGGCCACCACCCTACTGACTCCTACTGGCCTCTGCCCAGGCCTTGGCCTCTGGGCTCGGGAGGCATCCGACTGCGCCTCTCTGGCATCCCATCCCACCGACGACCCGCGCAGCCCCCGAGGGCACCACTTCACGTGGACTCACACTCACTCACGCACATACGCCGGCCTCGCCACACATGCTGACCCACACGGAATCACACTCGGCATGTGTGTCCACACACACACACTCAGACATTCACGCACCAGCCAGGGCGGGTGTACGCACAGAGGCCCGGGTGTGTGTGCGCTCGCTGGTACACACACACACACGCACACACGCGGCTCTCTGCCAAACCATCCCACTGGCGACACACTCAGTACCCCCCCAACCAGCATGTCGCAGCCCCCCCGGGCACCACTTCATTTGGGTTACACTCATGCACGCACTAGTGCAACACCCACACAGTCGGGCCTCCACATACATGCTCGCCCACAGGGTAACACACCCAGGCAAGAGTTCCCTCCCACACAGACAGACCCTCAGGCATGCTTTAAGGAGCCAGGTTTTGGTTTGCACAGATGCACGGGAGTGGGACCACACACACACCCATACAATCACATTAGAGCCCTCTCCCCCCAAAAGAACCATGCAATGATACAGGAATGACTGTGCACAGGCACACATGCTCACAGTTCGGCCTGCACGAACACATGCACTCACACGAACCTACTCACCTATGCACATACCCAAAGATGACACACTCAGGCAGGCAGGTAGACCCGCAGGCTGGCCCGTGAGCACACACTGCCATTGACTCCCTTAGTCACAGCCACCAGCATGTCCCAGCCTTGGAGTCCACCACCTCTTGTGGATTCCCTCTCATGTAAGTTCACACACTAGGCCAAGCCACATGAGGAGTGGTTTCTCGAGCCAGAATGAAGATGTGCCAGAGTGGGGGTTGTTGATTGTCTGACACTTGTATCATCTGACTTTGATTTCTTCGTATGGAAAGTGATCCTCAGGAAATACAGGCAGTGAGTCTTCGGGCCATCTGTGACTCATATTTGGAGGTGTGTTAGAATTATTTTAAAATGTGTGAAATTTCATAGGTCACATCTAGATTATTGATGCCTGAGGATACGTAGTGCTTGATTCTGAGTACTCCTGAGCGTAGTTCTGAATGCTCATTACTTTAAAGGGAGTTCTGGATTCCCGTAAAGGAGAGAAATGATCCTGTGTCTCAATAGTCCAGGTTATGTCACTGAATTCTGAGTACTCTTTAGGGGCCTGTGGATTTTTATTAAACTGCTGCTACGATGTGTTCCTAGTGCTTGATGCTGAGTACTCCAGAGGTCGGTGCTTCATGTTGAGTACTCCAGTATGTGGTGCTGAGTTTGGAATACTCCTAAGGGGCCTTACTGTAGCCCTTTTAAGTCCTGGAGGGTCATGTGATCACTTCTTTGTTGTCTCCTCAATCTTGCTCTCAGTTTGGTCTGCTCCCTACTGCGGATGGGTCAGAGGCTTTGTGATGCCCCTGAATGATGTCACTCCAGCCATGAACCTGCCATGTTCAGGAGGACTGGAACTCTGGTCTCCTCACAGTCCCAAATATTGATTGGTGGGGTGGGAACTTGGTGGGTTGGCCAATAGGAGAGTTGTTGGAGTGTCTTAAGGGATGATTGACAAGAGGGCTGTGGGATTGTCCTGAAGATGATTGACAGGCGGGCTGTGGGCATGTCATGAGGAATGAATGACAGGAGGGCTGTGGGCATGTCCTGAGGGATAATTGACAGGAGGGCTGTGGGCATGTCCTGAGGGATGATTGACTGGAGGGCTGTTGGAATGTCCTGAGGGATGATTGACTGGAGGGCTGTGGGAATATCCTAAGGGATGATTGACAGGAGGGCTGTGGGCATGTCCTGAGCGATGATTGACAGGAGGGCTGTGGGCATGTCCTGAGGAATGATTGAGAGGGCTATGAGAATATCCTGAGTGATGATTGACAGGGGGTGTGGGCGGGAAATAATGGATGACTGACACCATGGACACTCATCTTGGCTGTGACACTATCACAGTGCCCAAGGTCACGCCAGGGTCACAAGGTCATATAGGCATCGCTGTCCATCATGAAAGTGACCCCGCCCACAGACACCAGGTCTCCGCCCCTCAAGCCCTCCCGTGTAAGGCCAGGAAACCCAGCATCCTTGTCCCATTCAGGCTCTTCCCCCTTCCCGTGATGCTCCAGGACGAGTGCCTCCTCTGTGGGATCACAGACTTCTGGCTTTGCCATCAGGGTCACATGCTGTGTGTCACTGATCCACTCCTTGGAATGCAAAAGATGATGGCATTAGGGGTGGGGCCACAATGACACCTGCTTGCCCAGGAAGGGGAAGTAGGTAGAGAGTGAAGGATCATGGGAGGGATGAACAGGAAGTTGGGAAATAGGGTGGAAGATCATAGGAGTAACTGGAAGTGGGGTTGGTAAGGAGTGAAGGATCATGGGAGGCTGGGTTGGCGATCACCTGGAAGTCCCCACCGTGCTTCTCAAACAGCCCCGGGAAGCTGCCCTTGGGGTCGGGCACACATGGCATCAGCATATTCTTGAACCTGAAAGGGCAGGGGCAGGAGTTGAGGGGACAGGGTTGACGTCACACAGGGTGGCCTTGAAGTTCTCTCACTGGCAGACACTGTATGGTGCGTAACCCAGACAGGTCAGGGAGGGGGAACTGAGGCCGAGTGATGACCATGAGTCACACCCAGGGGGGATTGTGGATCTGCACGTGGCCCCCGCCCTCCACCACGTGACCATGCGCCCTTCCCCCGGCCCTGTGCCCTGACCTCCGCAGCCTCCACAGAGACAGCAGCAGCAGCAGCGAAGTCAGCAGGGTCAGGAGGCTGCATGCAACCAGGAACTTCGGGAAAGCCGGGGCAGGAGGCTCCTGGCAAGACTCTGGGGTTGGGGGAGAGGGGTCACATGACCCACGAGGAGAGTCATGTTTGCCCGGGTCATGGCAGCGGCTAGATGTCAATCATCTACTGCCTGTCAGTCACCTGCTCCTGGGACTCCTGACCCTCCCGTGAAGTCACCTGTGCGCCTTGCAGCTTGCCAGTGTGTCACAGGGGTCCAGTCGCTTGGGTGTGTCTCATGGCCGTACGTGGATTCCTCTGTGGTGACCCGGGCCCGGAAGTCGTAGCAGCGCTGGTGGTCGACTCCGGCCACTGTGACATTACATGTGTTCGCGGAAGAAGTCTGTGGACGGGTCATGTGATGGTGCTGTGACTCAGTCTCCCTCACAGACTATCCCCAGGACAGATGGCTCAGGAGAGCACCTGTCCCAGAAACAGGACCCGACCTGGAAGTAGGGGTGGAGGGGTCAGGACCTCGGGGTCAGAACCTAGATGGTGGGTCACATGAATGAGCATGGAGGCAGGACTATGAGAATGGGATGTGACTAAGAGAGCGATTGATGGTGACTGACAGATGGGCGGGCGAATGACAGAGGGGTACTGATCGATGGACGGATGATTGACAGGACGCAGCATGAGCAATAGATATGCCGGTGATTGACGGATTGACAGGTGACTGACTACTGATTGACAGAGGACTCCCGAGCATGCTGGGATCCCGGTGATGTCACGCACCTCCCAGGTGGGGTCTCTAGCTCCTCGGTGCTGGACCTCGTAGACTAGGCCGCTGTAGGGAAGGTCTGGACACGTGACCTGGACGGAGTCCTCCAGCCAATGGAAGGTCATGTTCCCTGGGGGACGGGGCTTCACTGGGGGAGGGGGATGGCTGTGAGTCACTGATGGATGGAGGCGTCAGAGCGGATGCTAGGAGGCCCGCTGGGTCATGACCACTGGGGTCATGACCATTGTTTGACCCTGCATGACCCTAGGCACCTAGAGACCCCTGTGTGACCCCTATGCACCTCTGTGACCCTGTGTGACTCGGAGGGACCTGCATGACCCTTGCATGACCCCTATGCCCACGTGACCCCTATATAACCTCCAACTCAACCATGGGACCCCTGGGACCCCCTACTAACCCATGTGACCCAAGCATGACCCCAAGTTGCCAGGTGACCCCTGTGTGACCCCTGTCTACCTCCACACTCCACGCCCCCTGCCACATCTGGGTCCTAATGTCACTTCCATGGAGGCCCTGTCCCCCACATCCGGTACTCACGGTAGGCTGTGGCCAGTCGCTTCCGGTTGTAGATCAACACCTCACCCTTCCGGATGTGGATCTCCAGTCGTGCTCGGCGGGCGGGGAAGATGCACCCGGAAGTGATTCCCGCTGACAGGACATAGCGGGGGCAGCTCCGCAGGGGATCAAGGTTGTAGCTGTGGGAGTAGGGCATCATGGGAAGAGAGTGGGAGATCATGGGAGGGGATGATGATGGGAGGGGAGCAGGGGATCATGGGAAGAGAGCATCATGGGAGGAACAGAGCATCATGCCGGAGAGCAGAGCATCATGGGAGGCAGCCACTCACCGGAATGCTAAGCTCAGGTTGGCCCCCACATGGTAGGCGGGATCCCACGTGACCTCCATGGTGTCCAGGTTGAAACAGATGATGCTGACCCGGAAGTCATCACCTGGGGAGCATGTGACCAGTGACGTCAGAGGCCACATAGCATCCAGCACTCTATCCACTGAGTTACCAGTGTAGGGAAAAAGGGCTGGCTAAAGAAACCCATCCTGGCCCTGAACCCAGAGCCAGTGAATGAAGCACACCCTGAACCCAGAGCCAGTGAGAGAAGCACACCCTGAACCCAGAGCCAGTGAGAGAAGCAAACCCTGAACCAGAGTCAGTGAGAGAAACACACCCTGAACCCAGAGCCAGTGAGAGAAGCACACCCTGAACCCAGAGCCAGTGAGAGAAGCAAACCCTGAACCAGATCCAGTGAGAGAAGCACACCCTGAACCCAGAGCCAGTGAGAGAAGCACACCCTGAACCCAGATCCAGTGAGAGAAGCACACCCTGAACCAGAGTCAGTGAGAGAAGCACACCCTGAACCCGAGTCAGTGAGAGAAGCACACCCTGAACCCAGAGCCAGTGAGAGAAGCACACCCTGAACCAGATCCAGTGAGAGAAGCACACCCTGAACCCAGATCCAGTGAGAGAAGCACACCCTGAACCAGAGCCAGTGAGAGAAGCACACCCTGAACCCGAGTCAGTGAGAGAAACACACCCTGAACCCAGAGCCAGTGAGAGAAACACACCCTAAACCCAGAGCCAGTGAGAGAAGCACACCCTGAACCCAGAGCCATCTCTGCCTCTGACCAAGTACACCAACCAATCCCGGAGCAGGGAAGCTAACCAATCCCCGAGCAGGGAAGCTAACCAATCCCGAGCAGGAACCCTGCTCCCTGGAGAAGCTCCGCCCCTAAGAAGCCCGGGAGAAGCCCGTCTGCCTGTCCGGGTGTGGGCTGCGCTTTCCCACCCTGGCAGGGGCAGCCGCTCGCCTGGGTGAAGATCTTCATTCACCTGTGCAGCGGAGCAGAGCACAAGAACCTTGCTGAGGCGTCCCTTAGGGGGACTGAGCAGGACTGAGCAGGAAAAGCAGCACTTTCCCGCAGAGCCGAGGAGGCCCTCCATTTCTGCAGGCTTCCCCTTGAGCAGGCTGAAGCTGAGGAAGAGAAGCCGTGGCAGAGCTGGGCTGGGAAGTCCTTCAGGGGTGGAGCAAAGCTCCAGGAGAGGAGCGGGGTTGCTACATCCTGTGGGCGCCCGTTCCCTCCCTCGGGCACCCGGCTGCAGGTGTCACCTGGCTCCAGACAGCCGGGGTTCCTCTCCTCCAGAGCCGGAACACTCACTGAGTCCCGAGCACTCTACCCACTGTGCATTCAGCACTCTGCTGGCCGACTCACAAGCACTTGCCCTTCCTCTGTCAACACCGCTGGCCTGTCACTCTGAGGCCCCTGGGGGGCGGGACCTCCCGTGTCCGGAAACCTCTGACATTTTACTGTGGAGTTTCCAGGAATCTATCTGTTATCGAAATCTGTGACGGGTGAGAGAGGTACTGAGCAATATAGCCCGGAAAGTACTGAGCCCCGGGAGTACTGAGCCCAGAGAAAGTACTGAGCCCTGGCAGTACTGTGCCCCAGGATGACTGAACCCACAGTGTACCGAGCCCCCGCAGGACTGAGTCGGGAGAGTAGTGAGCCCGGGAGAGGACTGAACCCCGAGAGTAGTGAGCCCCAGGAGGACTGAGCGCCGAGAGTAGTCAGTCAGGCCCAGGAGGACTAAGTCCCGAGAGTAGTCAGCCCAGAGAGTACTCAGCCGCAGGAGGACTGAGCCCCGAGAGTACTGAGCCCCAGGATAACCCAGCACCCGAGTGACCCAGCGAGAAGGAAGGACCGTCGGCCACTCAAGAGCAAGCGCAGAACACGCCCACAACCCCCGTCACGTGACCCCGGGCCCATCTACCATTCCCACCCCCAAACCCCCGCAGCCGGAACCGGATCCGGCCGGTTTCTCGGAGAAATGCCCGAGGGGGCGGGGCCCGGCGGTGACATCAGCCGCCAGGGCGGAAGCTGACCTGTGACCAGGAGACTGAGAACGCGTGGCTCCGCCCACGTCGGGGTGAGTGACGGGACCACGTGGTCTCGGGGGCGGGTTCTGGGCCGCGTCAAGTGCTGAAAGCACTCAGCCCGCAGAACTATGGTCTAATCAACCCAGCTATAAGCACTCTGCCCGCACAACTTTGGTCTAATCAACCGAGCTATAAGCACTCTGCCCGCAGAATTGTGGTCGAATCAACCGAGCTATAAGCACTCTGCCCGCAGAACTATGGTCTAATCAATAAGCAACTCAGCCCGCTGAACTATGTCTTAATCAATAAGCACTCTGCCCGCTGAACTATGGTCTAATCAACCGAGCTATAAGCACCCTGCCAACTCATCCGCAGGCACCTTATACTGGCCGCAGCACCCACAGTATGTACTGAGGTGCACGGTATGTACTGAGCTGCAAACACAGTATGTACTGACCCACAGTATGTACTGAGGTGCACGGTATGTACTGAGCTGCAGGCACCCTATGTACTGAGCCACAAGCACCCTACCGAAGCCCACCTTCCGACAGGCATTAACATATGGGCACATGCAGATGAGCTGTTATCCCAGCGCCGTTGACAGGTGACGTCGCCAGCGCCCTCCGCGACCCCCGCGACCCCCGATCCCCCGGGGGTCACCACGTGAGTTTGCCGCCAACCACGTGACCCCGGCGCCCCCTTCCCGCTGGACCTCCCACCCCCCCACCCCACCCCCGGCTCACCCGCGCTCTCCTCCCACGAGGTCCGTGGGAGCTGCAGCAGGAGGATGACCGCGATGGACCAGGTCGGGACGCTCATGGCGGCGGGAAGGACGGACGGACACGGGGACGCACGGACGGACGGACACCCGGTCGCGCGCGTCTGCCCCCGAACCCCGGGGCTTCTTCTCATTTGGGGAAGTCGCGGCGGCGGCGGCGGCGGCGGCGGAGGCGGCGGAAGCTGCGCTGACTGAGGAGCTGATGGGCGATAACGGACTGACTAATAGATCGCCGCGCGATAACCGCGGCGGGGGGTGGGGTGGGGAGGGGGAGAGGGGAGGGGGAGGACCGACGGACGGACGGACGGACGGACACGGCAAGGCGGGAGTCCCCGGGTGCCCACACGCTCGCCGCGGGAACCGACTCCGGCGTGAGCGCCCGCGCGGCGTCGGGCAGGACCCCGCCGCGGCGGCCCGTCGGCGGCCGCGTAGACGCGGGCCGGGCCCTCCCCCACACGCCCGGGCCGGGGGGGGGGGAGGGGGGCGAGGGGGATTTCGGGGAAAAAAGGGGAAGTGGGGAGAAGGGGAAGGAGCGTGTTCCTCCTCCAGAGGAAGGGCGGGAGCGGGGGCGGACGGTCGGGTGCTCGCGACTCCGTGAGTGGGTGCTGGTGACTCGGTGAGTGAGTGCTCGTGACACAGTGGGTAGGGTGCTTGTGACACAGTTAGTGGGGTGCTTGTGGCACGGTGAGTGCTGGTGACTGGTTTTATGGAGTGCTTGTGGCTCAGCTGAGGTGCTTGTGGCTCAGTTGGTGAGTGCTTGTGACTTTTCGAGTGGGTACTTGTAACTTGCTGACTGTGGTGCCTCTCAAGCTCAGTCACTGGGGTGCTTAGAGCTGAGTGACGGGGGTGCTGGTTGCTCAGTGGATACAGAGATGACAGATTGATGGTCGGCAGAGCGTATGTGTGTGGGATGATTGGCGGAGTGGATGGAGGGGCGGGGCCAGTAGTGGAGCCTGTGGGTGAGCCAGACTCAGTGATGATGTCACTAATGTTGGCTTGTCTGGACCCCAGAGCATCATGGGACCTCATGACGTCACAAGTCTAAGCAGATGGGGAGCAAAGGATTTTGGGAGGGAGACACAAGCCACTGAATCCTGATGTCTCCAAGAACCCAAATGGCCCTGCGCTGGACTGAGGGATGGCGTCATCGGAAGTGTTCATGCCCCCAACCCAGAACATGATGGGACCTCATGATGTCACCAGGTGTCTGTGAGGGGGAGCCTGAACGTCATGGGAGGGGTCTGGGCCGGAAGTGGGGTGACTTAGGAAGTGCCATGTGACTGACAGCTGGCACAGAGCATTCTGGGGGATAGGATAACAGTGCTGCACATTTCCCATTGCTGCAGGTGTCACTTCCGCCCTGTCCGTGATTGACAGCCATTGTTCCTGTAGCGTCATCACAGGCTTGTGGACCAGGAGGTCAATCATCTGGACTTGGGCGATGGACGGCAGGTGGTTGATTGACAGGAGTTGGCTCCACGATTTCCAGCACTCACTGCGCCTTCTGGTCTGGATTGTGCCACGTGATGCGTCCTGTGTTGTGCACGTGAGTGGGGCCCTCAGGGACACGGGTCAGCACCCCTCTTCCAGTTCACGCATCAGTACCCCACTTCCGGGTGACAGGTCAACATGTCCCCGCACTTTGACACCCGCAAAGCATCATGGGATGCAGTGATGGAGGCCTTGATGGTCAGACACACCCCTGAACCAGAAGTGGCCAAAAGGACCCTATTCGGTTTCTGTGGTGGGAGCTGGGCAGTGATGACATCACTGGCAGTGGCCTTGGACCTCCCAGAGGATGTCGGGAACTCATTACATCACAGGATGTCTGCCGGGGTGCGAGGGAAACATCATGGGAGGGGAGGGTTGGGGCACATGTTGAGGGCACATGACAGCCAGAAACCTGGAAGTTACCTCCAAGCGTGCCTCCCTGAGTAAGGGGCGGGACCTGGGCAGAGGGAGTGGAGGCTCATGGGATGCAGCTGGCCTGGGTGGGCGTGGCTAGTATAGTCAGGACAGCTGTGATGGACACCGCTCCGCCCACTTTGTCATGAGGCTCTGGGGTCAGGTCACATCAGGTTCTCCAGGCATCACTTGTCTGGTGCCACTTGTCCCTCCCTCCCATGATGCTTCACTCTCACCTGGTAGAGACCCCATGGTGTCCTGATGCTGTTGTCACACTCTGACGTTGGCACATGGTCACCAGTGACGTCATCACTTCCCACAGTCAGCACCCCTGAGTGTCACACTGCGTGCTCCTGAACTTCACTCTGCATGCCTCTGAACATAACCCTGTAAATGTCACACTGTGTGCCCCTGAAGGTCACACTCTGTGCCCCTGAACGTCACACTGCGTGCCCCTGAACGTCACACTGTGTGCCCCTGAACGTCACACTGTGCTCCAGTGAACGTCACACTGTGCTTCCCTGAACGTCACACTGTGCTCCCCTGAACGTCACACTGCGTGCCCCTGAACGTCACACTGCGTGCCCCTGAACGTCACACTGTGCTCCCCTGAACGTAACACTGTGCTCCCCTGAACGTCACACTGTGCTCCCCTGAACGTCACACTGTGCTCCCCTGAACGTCACACTGTGCTCCCCTGAACGTCACACTGTGCTCCCCTGAACGTCACACTGTGTGCCCCTGAACGTCACACTGTGCTCCCCTGAACATCACACTGTGCTCCCCTGAACGTCACACTGTGCTCCCCTGAACGTCACACTGTGCTCCAGTGAACGTCACACTGTGTGCCCCTGAACGTCACACTGTGCTCCCCTGAACGTCACACTGTGCTCCCCTGAACGTCACACTGTGCTCCCCTGAACATCACACTGTGCTTCCCTGAACGTCACACTGTGCTCCCCTGAACGTCACACTGCGTGCCCCTGAACGTCACACTGCGTGCCCCTGAACGTCACACTGCGTGCCCCTGAACGTCACACTGTGCTCCCCTGAACATCACACTGTGTGCCCCTGAACGTCACACTGCGTGCCCCTGAACGTCACACTGTGCTCCCCTGAACGTCACACTGTGCTTCCCTGAACGTCACACTGTGTGCCCCTGAACGTCACACTGTGTGCCCCTGAACGTCACACTGTGCTCCCCTGAACGTCACACTGTGTGCCCCTGAACGTCACACTGCGTGCCCCTGAACGTCACACTGCGTGCCCCTGAACGTCACACTGTGCTCCCCTGAACGTCACACTGTGCTTCCCTGAACGTCACACTGTGTGCCCCTGAACGTCACACTGTGTGCCCCTGAACGTCACACTGTGCTCCCCTGAACGTCACACTGTGTGCCCCTGAACGTCACACTGTGCCCCTGAACGTCACACTGTGCTCCCCTGAACGTCACACTGTGTGCCCCTGAACGTCACACTGTGTGCCCCTGAACATCACACTGTGCTCCCCTGAACATCACACTGTGCTCCCCTGAACGTCACACTGCGTGCCCCTGAACGTCACACTGTGTGCCCCTGAACGTCACACTGTGCTCCCCTGAACGTCACACTGTGCTCCCCTGAACGTCACACTGTGCCCCTGAACGTCACACTGTGCTCCCCTGAACGTCACACTGTGCTCCCCTGAACGTCACACTCTGTGCCCCTGAACGTCACACTGTGCTCCCCTGAACGTCACACTGTGCTTCCCTGAACGTCACACTGTGTGCCCCTGAACGTCACACTGTGTGCCCCTGAACGTCACACTGTGCTCCCCTGAACGTCACACTGTGCTCCCCTGAACGTCACACTGTGCTTCCCTGAACGTCACACTGTGCTTCCCTGAACGTCACACTGTGTGCCCCTGAACGTCACACTGTGCTCCCCTGAACGTCACACTGTGCTCCCCTGAACGTCACACTGTGTGCCCCTGAACGTCACACTGTGTGCCCCTGAACGTCACACTGTGCTTCCCTGAACGTCACACTGTGTGCCCCTGAACGTCACACTGTGCTCCCCTGAACGTCACACTGCGTGCCCCTGAACGTCACACTGTGTGCCCCTGAACGTCACACTGTGTGCCCCTGAACGTCACACTGTGCTCCCCTGAACGTCACACTGTGCTTCCCTGAACGTCACACTGTGTGCCCCTGAACGTCACACTGTGCGCCCCTGAACGTCACACTGTGTGCCCCTGAACGTCACACTGTGCTCCCCTGAACGTCACACTGTGCTCCCCTGAACGTCACACTGTGCTCCCCTGAACGTCACACTGTGCTCCCCTGAACGTCACACTGTGCTCCCCTGAACGTCACACTGTGCTCCCCTGAACGTCACACTGTGCTCCCCTGAACGTCACACTGTGTGCCCCTGAACGTCACACTGTGCTTCCCTGAACGTCACACTGTGCTCCCCTGAACGTCACACTGTGCTCCCCTGAACGTCACACTGTGTGCCCCTGAACGTCACACTGTGCCCCTGAACGTCACACTGTGTGCCCCTGAACGTCACACTGTGTGCCCCTGAACGTCACACTGTGCTCCCCTGAACATCACACTGTGCTCCCCTGAACGTCACACTGTGCGCCCCTGAACGTCACACTGTGTGCCCCTGAACGTCACACTGTGTGCCCCTGAACGTCACACTGTGCTCCCCTGAACGTCACACTGTGCTCCCCTGAACGTCACACTGTGCGCCCCTGAACGTCACACTGTGTGCCCCTGAACGTCACACTGTGCTCCCCTGAACGTCACACTGTGTGCCCCTGAACGTCACACTGTGTGCCCCTGAACGTCACACTGTGTGCCCCTGAACGTCACACTGTGCTCCCCTGAACGTCACACTGTGTGCCCCTGAACGTCACACTGTGCTCCCCTGAACGTCACACTGTGCTCCCCTGAACGTCACACTGTGCTCCCCTGAACGTCACACTGTGCTCCCCTGAACGTCACACTGTGTGCCCCTGAACGTCACACTGTGCTCCCCTGAACGTCACACTGTGCCCCTGAACGTCACACTGTGCTCCCCTGAACGTCACACTGTGCTCCCCTGAACGTCACACTGTGCTCCCCTGAACGTCACACTGTGTGCCCCTGAACGTCACACTGTGCTCCCCTGAACATCACACTGTGCCCCTGAACGTCACACTGTGCTCCCCTGAACGTCACACTGTGCTTCCCTGAACGTCACACTGTGCTTCCCTGAACGTCACACTGTGTGCCCCTGAACGTCACACTGTGCTTCCCTGAACATCACACTGTGCTCCCCTGAACGTCACACTGTGCTCCCCTGAACGTCACACTGTGCTCCCCTGAACGTCACACTGTGTGCCCCTGAACGTCACACTGTGCTCCCCTGAACGTCACACTGTGCTCCCCTGAACGTCACACTGTGCCCCTGAACGTCACACTGTGTGCCCCTGAACGTCACACTGTGCTCCCCTGAACGTCACACTGTGCTTCCCTGAACGTCACACTGTGCTCCCCTGAACGTCACACTGTGCTCCCCTGAACGTCACACTGTGCTCCCCTGAACGTCACACTGTGCTCCCCTGAACGTCACACTGTGTGCCCCTGAACGTCACACTGTGTGCCCCTGAACGTCACACTGTGCTCCCCTGAACGTCACACTGTGCTCCCCTGAACGTCACACTGTGCTCCCCTGAACGTCACACTGTGCTCCCCTGAACGTCACACTGTGTGCCCCTGAACGTCACACTGTGTGCCCCTGAACGTCACACTGTGTGCCCCTGAACGTCACACTGTGTGCCCCTGAACGTCACACTGTGCTCCCCTGAACGTCACACTGTGCTCCCCTGAACGTCACACTCTGTGCCCCTGAACGTCACACTGTGCTCCCCTGAACGTCACACTGTGTGCCCCTGAACGTCACACTGTGTGCCCCTGAACGTCACACTCTGTGCCCCTGAACGTCACACTGTGTGCCCCTGAACGTCACACTCTGTGCCCCTGAACGTCACACTGTGCTCCCCTGAACGTCACACTGTGCTCCCCTGAACGTCACACTGTGCTCCCCTGAACGTCACACTGTGCTCCCCTGAACGTCACACTGTGCTCCCCTGAACATCACACTGTGCTCCCCTGAACGTCACACTGTGTGCCCCTGAACGTCACACTGTGTGCCCCTGAACGTCACACTGTGCGCCCCTGAACGTCACACTGTGCTCCCCTGAACGTCACACTGTGTGCCCCTGAACGTCACACTCTGTGCCCCTGAACGTCACACTGTGCTCCCCTGAACGTCACACTGTGTGCCCCTGAACGTCACACTGTGCTCCCCTGAACGTCACACTGTGCTCCCCTGAACGTCACACTGTGTGCCCCTGAACGTCACACTGCGTGCCCCTGAACGTCACACTGTGCTCCCCTGAACGTCACACTGTGTGCCCCTGAACGTCACACTGCGTGCCCCTGAACGTCACACTGTGCTCCCCTGAACATCACACTGTGCTCCCCTGAACGTCACACTGTGCTCCCCTGAACGTCACACTGCGTGCCCCTGAACATCACACTGTGCTCCCCTGAACGTCACACTGTGCTCCCCTGAACGTCACACTGTGCCCCTGAACGTAACACTGTGTGCCCCTGAACGTCACACTGTGCCCCTGAACGTCACACTGTGCTCCCCTGAACGTCACACTGTGCCCCTGAACGTCACACTGTGCTCCCCTGAACGTCACACTGTGCTCCCCTGAACGTCACACTGCGTGCCCCTGAACGTCACACTGTGCTCCCCTGAACATCACACTGTGCTCCCCTGAACGTCACACTGTGCTCCCCTGAACGTCACACTGCGTGCCCCTGAACGTCACACTGCGTGCCCCTGAACGTCACACTGTGCTCCCCTGAACGTCACACTGTGTGCCCCTGAACGTCACACTGTGCTCCCCTGAACGTCACACTGTGTGCCCCTGAACGTCACACTGTGTGCCCCTGAACGTCACACTGTGTGCCCCTGAACGTCACACTGTGCTCCCCTGAACGTCACACTGTGTGCCCCTGAACGTCACACTGTGCTCCCCTGAACGTCACACTGCGTGCCCCTGAACGTAACACTGTGCTCCCCTGAACGTCACACTGCGTGCCCCTGAACGTCACACTGTGCTCCCCTGAACGTCACACTGTGCTCCCCTGAACGTCACACTGTGCTCCCCTGAACGTCACACTGTGTGCCCCTGAACGTCACACTGTGTGCCCCTGAACGTCACACTGTGCTCCCCTGAACGTCACACTGTGTGCCCCTGAACGTCACACTGTGCTCCCCTGAACGTCACACTGTGTGCCCCTGAACGTCACACTGTGCTCCCCTGAACGTCACACTGCGCTCCCCCTGAACATCACACTGTGCTCCCCTGAACGTCACACTGTGCTCCCCTGAACGTCACACTGCGTGCCCCTGAACGTAACACTGTGCTCCCCTGAACGTCACACTGCGTGCCCCTGAACGTCACACTGTGTGCCCCTGAACGTCACACTGTGCTCCCCTGAACGTCACACTGTGCTCCCCTGAACGTCACACTGCGTGCCCCTGAACGTCACACTGTGCTCCCCTGAACGTCACACTGTGTGCCCCTGAACGTCACACTGTGCTCCCCTGAACGTCACACTGCGCTCCCCTGAACGTCACACTGCGTGCCCCTGAACGTCACACTGCGTGCCCCTGAACGTCACACTGTGCTCCCCTGAACATCACACTGTGCTCCCCTGAACGTCACACTGTGCTCCCCCTGAACGTCACACTGTGCTCCCCTGAACGTCACACTGTGCTCCCCTGAACGTCACACTGTGCTCCCCTGAACGTCACACTGTGTGCCCCTGAACGTCACACTGTGCTCCCCTGAACATCACACTGTGCTCCCCTGAACGTCACACTGCGTGCCCCTGAACGTCACACTGTGCTCCCCTGAACGTCACACTGTGCTCCCCTGAACGTCACACTGTGCTCCAGTGAACGTCACACTGTGTGCCCCTGAACGTCACACTGCGTGCCCCTGAACGTCACACTGCGTGCCCCTGAACGTCACACTGTGCTCCCCTGAACGTCACACTGTGCTCCCCTGAACGTCACACTGTGCTCCCCTGAACGTCACACTGTGCTCCCCTGAACGTCACACTGTGCTCCCCTGAACGTCACACTGTGCTCCCCTGAACGTCACACTGTGCTCCCCTGAACGTCACACTGTGTGCCCCTGAACGTCACACTCTGTGCCCCTGAACGTCACACTGCGTGCCCCTGAACGTCACACTGCGTGCCCCTGAACGTCACACTGTGCTCCCCTGAACGTCACACTGTGCTCCCCTGAACGTCACACTGTGCTCCCCTGAACGTCACACTGTGCTCCCCTGAACGTCACACTGTGTGCCCCTGAACGTCACACTGTGTGCCCCTGAACGTCACACTGTGTGCCCCTGAACGTCACACTGTGCTCCCCTGAACGTCACACTGTGTGCCCCTGAACGTCACACTGTGTGCCCCTGAACGTCACACTGTGTGCCCCTGAACGTCACACTCTGTGCCCCTGAACGTCACACTGTGCTCCCCTGAACGTCACACTGTGCTCCCCTGAACGTCACACTGTGCGCCCCTGAACGTCACACTGTGCTCCCCTGAACGTCACACTGTGTGCCCCTGAACATCACACTGTGCTCCCCTGAACGTCACACTGTGCTCCCCTGAACGTCACACTGTGCTTCCCTGAACGTCACACTGTGCGCCCCTGAACGTCACACTGCGTGCCCCTGAACGTCACACTGTGCTCCCCTGAATGTTAGACTCTGTGCCCCTGAACGTCACATTGTGCTCCTCTGAATGTCATACTCTGTGGCCCTGAACGTCACACTGCGTGCCCCTGGAGCCCCACTGCGAGCCCCTGGAGCCCCACTGTGTACTCCCTCCCTCCCCCCACCAATCCTTGATCAATAGTCTATCAACAAACACCAGGCCCCGCCCACCTTTCCCAGGAATCCCAACAGCTGGCTTCTGCCTATGTCCTGGATCCAGGTGTCAATCACCCCAGGAGGGCAGGGCCCCGGGCTCCTGCTGTCAGTCATTCAGCCTGTCAATCACCGCGCCTGTTCCTTCCCCTCTAGGTTTCCCAACCTGCAGATGAGGAAGCTGGGAGGGAGTCGGGACAGACTGAAAGACAGACAGCCGTACGGAGGTCCCTGCGGGCCTCCCACCTCTCTCCCCACGGCTCAGGGCTGCTCACCCTTGAGCCTGGGCAGGAGCACCGGGAGCAGGCCATCATTGTGGGCAATCCCCTGCCGTCAGTGTCGGTAAGTCCACTTCCTCCAGGCTTCCCGTGCTGAATTGGGGCGTGGTCTGTGTAGACTAGGGTTAAGGTGGGGGTCCTGGTGTGGTGACCGGAAGTGACCCTGATGGGACTTCCGGTGGATCTGGGGTCTGCTTCTAGAGGTCATCCTGGGGATGGGGAGGGGATGGTGCCTGGTGACATCAGGAGGGGTTGCATTAACATCACCCCTGTAATCCCAACCCTAGGGTCACGGGGGGGGGGGGGGGGTTGGCGGCTGAAGGGGGGGAGCCACAGGGGCATCTGGGAGATTTCTAGAATCTCCCAATGGGCTACTGAGGAGGGGACATGCTGACCTACTGTGTGCACTGGCTGGAAGTGACCTCCATCCCCAGGTTATGGGTTCAAAAACAGAAAAAGAAAAGCCGGAAGGTCTGGCTGGAGAGTTGGCTCAGAGGTTAAGAGCACTGGCTGCTCTACCAGAGTTCCTGAGTTTGATTCCCAGCAACTACATGTTGCTCACAACCATCTATAATGAGATCTGATATCATCTTCTGGTTTGCAGGGTACACGGAGGCAGAACACTGTATACATTATAAATAAATAAATCTCTTTAGAAAAAGTCAGGGGCAAGGGGCAGGGGCCGTGAGACCGGAAGTGGGGAGACAGGGACCTCCCTCCCCGTCACACCTCCCCTACCTCCTCCAGATTGAAAGTGGCCCCGCCCCTGGGGCACTGTGGGTTGATATCCAGCTGGGAAGATCATGGACTCTGATCCTAGAATGCTTCCAGTTTACTGCATGGGGGGTAGGGGTGGGTGACAAACTTCCTGCCCCCCCATCCCCTTCATGGAGAGTCAGTGCCCTCCTGGGTCTCCCTAACTAATTAGAAGTCCCAGGACCTCTCAGCCGCCGCCTTCAGGGAAGAGAGATGGATGATGGATCCTGGGAGTTGGGGAGGAGGAGGGCAGGGTAATGGGGGAGAAGTGGGCAGGGTCCAGATGATGCAGAAAATGAAAAAAATAAAATAAAATAAATCTGGAGATGCTGGGCGTGGTGGCACACGCCTGTAATCCCAGCACTCCGGAGGCAGAGGCAGGAGGATCTCTGTGAGTTTGAGGGCAGCCTGGTCTACAAAGCGAGTTCCAGGAAAGGCGCAAAGCTACACAGAGAAACCCTGTCTCGAAAAACCAAAAAAAAAAAAAAAAAAATCTGGAGACCTGAGGGTGTTGGATGAGCGTTCCCAGCATGCACTGGGGTGCTGTTGGATATTTGTTTGCCCACCAGGATCTTTGCATATGGGAGGCTCTGAGGCTGCCTCCGCAGCCCCCCCCCCCCCCATCATTCGCCGTACATTTCAGAAAAAAAAAAATTTCCATGAGTCACCCACTGCAGGGAGCCCAAGGCAGAAAAGAGGAAGTCTGTCCTGACAGGGAGGAGGGAGCGAGTGGGGGCACAGTCAGACTGCAACCCACGGGACCGAGGGGATGATACAAAATTCCCGGCCTGGGACGTCAGGGCTGAGGAAGCTGAGGCAGGAGGATGCCTAATAAGAGTGTGTATGCACATTCGGACCACAAGTGCAAAGACACCCACCCCCTCTGACAATAAATAAGTAAACAGTAATGGTAAATAAATGGCATTTCTGACCTGTGATGTCAGGGCTGAGGGAGCTGAGGCAGGAGGATGGTTGGGAGTACGGGGGTGGGGGGGTGCAGGGTGGGTGAGAGAGGGATGAGGAGGAAATCCCTGTAACCAGGGTGTGCGAGCATAGTGGGTCCAGGTCAGGGGACTTCGTGCCACAACACAGCAGCGGCAAGGGGCGGGTCCAATGATGTCCACTCCCCCTTCTGGGTGACTGACAGATAGCTTCACAGACACGCCCGCTCATCCACTTGACTGACAGATGAAGTCACAGACAAACCCGGCCATGCCATGTGACTTACAGACACTCCCCATCCTCTGTGCAGGATGACATCACCTGAGTGACAGATGACATCACAGACGCCTACCCATCCCATGTAACTCACGGGATGACGTCAGATACACCCACACACAAGACTTGACTGATGGGATGACACCACAGGCACCTGACTTACAGGATGTTGCCACGGAAATGTCTTCTGTCTCTCCACAGCCATGCCTATGCCGTGTGTGGCCTTACTGTGCCAGGCCCTACTGTGTGCTGCTCTGCTTCAGGCTTCCGGCTCCAAGGCACAGGAGCTTCCAGGTGAGTGTGCGATCCCAGATGTCCCTGGTTCCCCCCCCCACACACACACCTGGTGTGGTTCCTCGGTTACTCAGTTTCCCCATGACACATCAACACACGTGAGGAGACATCAGCAAATGCCTGTTCACACTGAAATGATTGACAGATCTAGACAGGAAGTGGGGATCCTCTATTCCTCTTCCCCATTATACATGATGACATCACTGCATCCTCCCGCATTTCCTGGGATCCTGGCAGCCAGAGAGGGGCTATGTTGGAACAATGCTGGAAGTGATGTCTCTTATCCCTTAGGGGGGGGGGGTCCAAAGTCACAGGTGGGCGGGTCAGGTCAGAGGTCGCCTTACATACTCCAGCACTGACTCGCGGGGGAGCCTCGGTGCTGAACGTGACCTTTGACCCCGGGACCTGGACCCTGACCTGGAGCTGCGGAGGGCACGTCACTGTGAAGTCATGCACTGCAACTTTCACCAAGAGTAACGGGAGATTGGGGCGCCTGAAGATACCGGTCTGTGGTGGGGGGGCAGGGTCTGCTGGGGGTCGGGATCTGGGGCAGGGGCGGGGCCGGCATCAGGGGTCTTCTGATGACGTCACATCCCTGCCCATCTCCCCCAGGACCCTGTGTGCCACTGCCAATTCAAACCCCTGACCCTTCACCTTGGGGTCACGCTGGAGGTCAACGCAACTGTTAATCACATGCCTGTGCATGAGAAGCTGAGATACATCAACAGAGGTGGGGGGAGGGGGAAGGGGTACGGGGTAGGGGTGGCAGGGCCTGGTGCTTGTCAGTCATCATGGGGCCCAGGGGTGGGACGTGGTGCCTGTCAATCACAGAGCCTGTCAATCATAATGACTTTCCATCATGGCATTGGTCACTGTATCCTCATCACTCTCAGGGTGCTGGGGGCTGAGTGGACACAAGTGCTGAGCTCTGGTACTCTGTGCCAGCCGCACCCACAGTGGAAGTAGTTGCTGGTGACTTGGTTAAGGGAGGCCAGACCTGAGAGATGGACAGGGAGAGATGATTGGACAATTGATAGATGGATATGTAATCAACTAATAGATGATCAGTAGATGATCAATAGACAGGTGATAGTCGAATGACTGACAGGGAACAGGAGGCAGGAAGTGACATCTGAGAACAGGGGATAGACCTGGTGTGGATTGGTCAGACTGGATGGCTGACATGTGTGCTGACGTCACCACACCCCTGAGGGAAAGAGGTCTAGGTTGATGATGATGAACTTCCGTGTTCATGATGGACTTCCAGGTTGATGATAGCCTTTCAGATAAATGATGACCTTCCAGGTTGATAGTGATTTTCCTAGGCTATGTAAAGCTGTATTGGAATTTCCCCAGGGGCCTGCCCTGAGAAAATCCTTCCCAGAGTCCTGGAGAAGATACTACGTCCAGCATGGGGTTATCGGAGGGAAAAGAATATGTGTAAACCAGTTTCTTACATCCATTTACTTTAAATTCTCTATAACAAACCTTTGTGTACACAGCTTCAGTTCTGTCCTGACACTCAGTTCCTCTCTGTCCCTTCTTTTTCTGTCCTCTCATAGCCCTAGTAATAACTAAGCTCTTAGGCTCTCGATCTCATCTTCGTCCTCTGTTTCTTCGTCCTCCATCTATCCTTCCTCTCCTACTCTCCTGATCTGATTCAAATCCACCTACAGTCTGCAAAACTTTTCCTTGCTCCTTACTCCTCCACCCAGGCCAGTCTGCCTTACCATCTACAGAAACTGCCTTCCTCTCTTCTCTCTGGCCAGACCAGGAATTCTGCTTCAGTCTTTACTGCAGCTGGTTATGCAAAAAACTCTTTTGTCTTCAGTCAGTAACTCTGGCATGCTACTAGCCCTGAAGGAAAGGGATGGTCTGAGCTTCATTTGCACAAGAAACAAAGCTATGCATCTGCAGTCTGCTTGTCTCCAAGGCTCCATAGGGGTGTTACCTAGTAGATCAGCAGGAGGTCTGAGAAGCTTATACTGTTTACCATAGGGCCTAGTAGTATATGAGCACACAAAAAATTCACAGCAGAAGACAGGTGATTATTAAAAGCTGAATAACACCAAATATTCCCTGATAAATGGCTTCCCTCTAGAAAGATTCCTTGACCTTTCTAGGTATAGCTGTATTATATACAGCTGAATCTCTATAATATATTCTTGCGGCTCACAGCAACCCTGATGTCACTTCTTTCCTTACACAGGTGTAGAGGGGTCGGCAGCACAGAACCTCACATGCTTCATCCACGATGCGCGTGTAATGACGTGTACCTGGGGGGTAGGGCCCGCAGCACCTAGGGACATCCAGTACTTCCTGCACATGCGGAACACCACGTAAGCACCAATGTCAAAGCATGCTGATGGGCGGGAAGAGGGGGCATGGCCTGGGGCCCGGGCTGACTATTATGGGCTGTCCCCCAAAGGGGTCACATGCTGATGGCATGCCCTGCCTACCTGGGTGATCATGTGCACACGGGCTGCCGCCTGGAGGATCTGACTCTGCTGCCACATCATGTGCACATGACTGTGACTGGATCCAGCCGGATGTGTGACATCATGTTCTATGACATCACGCTGAACACCAAGCTCATAGGTGTGTGATGTCAGGGTGACAGTATGAGGGGGCTGGACACAGGGGTGAGTGACGGATGTGAGGGGGAGGGACATAGGAGTGATTGACAGCAGAGTATGAGGGGGCTGGACATGGGGGTGGGTGGGTAGATGAATGACAGGAGAGTGTAAGGGGGCAGGACATGGGGATGAGTGGCAGGTGTGTTTGGTAGGGACTCGAGGTACGTGACAGGTGTGAGGGGGCGGGACATGGGTGAGTAACAGGTGTGAGGGGGTGGATCACGGGTGCGCGTGACAGTTGTGAGAGGGCAGGATACAGGTGTGAGTGACAGGTGTGTGTGGGGGAGATGGGGATGAATGACAGGTGTGTGGGGAAGGGACAGGTGTGAGTGACAGGTGTGAAGGGGCGGATCACAGGCATGAGTGACAGTTGTGAGGGGGCAGATACCGGGTGTGAGTGACAGGTTATCACAGAAGCCTGCCTGTAAATCTCATGTTACTTCCAGTAGGCGGGACATGTTCCTGTCACTCATTCCTGATCCCTGCCCTCCCCTCAGAGCGTCTCAGCCCCCCGTGGAACATCTCTGTGGCCTGTAACTCCTCTCACTGCGTGGTCACGTGGTCCCAGCCACAGACGTGGAGTCACATGAGTTTCTCGGACTTCCGGTATGAGGTGGACATCCAGAGACAGGTGTGCACCCCGGGGCATCCTAGGAAATGGGGCAAGGGGCTTCCCTGCCCCCTCTCCAGTCTGGAAACCCACTTCCAGTTCCAATTTCTCCTAGAACGCAGAACCCGGAAGTGCCAACCCTAAGGTGAGATGACCACTGCTGACCCCTGCCTGCCGACCCCTCAGTTGTGGGCGGGGTCACACGCAGGACCACGCACCTTCCCCCCCATCCTCCACAGGTGTGCATCTCCAGTGAGGCGGAAAACAGATACGAGTTCCCGAGTCCGGAGCCCAGGCTGGGTCACGTGGTCAGCGTGCGGGCTGGTGACGTGCGCAGCGATCGCTGGAGCGCGTGGAGCCCCGGCTTGGCCTTCGGTGAGGGGGCGTGTGTCCACCTTCCCGACCATCTGTGATTCAGGCTCCTGGACTTCTGAGACATTGCCCTTTGACCCATGGCCATTTCCGGTCTAAGCCCCTCCCTCCCACAGGCTCTGAGGACCGTGGGGTCCCCATGCTGCACGTGTACCTGACAGTTGTGACTGTGACCCTACTGTGCGCCTTGGGCCTCGGGCTGGCATGTAAGAGGTAAACACAGGCCAGGGCATGACCATGATGGAGCCTGTGGACACGTGACTGGTGATGGATGGGTGAGGGGGCGGGTCTAAGGGGCATGGTGATGGATGGGTGAGACTCTCAGCATGCACTGCTTGCTCCTGCCTGACCTTAAAGTTCCAAGTCAAAATGGCTGTCACCACCCCTGACCTCTGACCCCTGACTCCACAGGTTCGTCAGGATCCAGAAACTTTTCCCCAAGATCCCGGAAATCAAGGACAAAATCACCGATGATGACAGAGTCAACCCGGAGGTCAGAGGTTACGCCTGCGGGGGTGGAGGTGGGGGGTGAAGGGGGGGGCTGGGGGGTGGGGGGAGGCTGGAGCTCCTGTCAGTCATCTGTTGGGACTGGCCTACAGCCATGCCCACTTGGAAAACCCCTGAGTTCCCTCCCTGCTGAACTCAGGATGACCCTCAGTGACCCCAGTTGACCCCTGATGAACCCCTGTTGACCTCCTCTGACCCCACTGACTCTGGTTAACCCCAGTTGATCCTGCTAACCCCTATGAACCCGGTTGACCCCTGCTGACCCCAGTTGACCCCAGGTGACCTTCATTGCCCCCCATTGACCCCTTTTAACCTCTCTGACTCGATTTGACCCGAACTGACCTCCACAACCCCAGCTGATCCCCCTGGCCCTGGTTGACCACCCTGATCCCAGTTGACTCCCTGACCCCGCTTAACCCCCCTGACCCTAGTTGACTCCCCTGACCCTGGGTGACCCACACTAACCCTGGTTGACCCCAGCTGACTGCCCCTGACCCCCTTTACCCTGATTGACCCCCTGACCCCGGCTGACCCCTAATCCCACCCTCTGCTCCCCCCCAAGACCCTCAGGAAGGACTTATTGCTGCAGACCGAGGAGGCCAACTAGGCTGTGACGTCAACAGGAAGTTCTGCCCACACTGCAGGAACACGTGGGCAGCTCCACCACACCCAGAAGTAGTTTCAAATCTAAAACTGTTTTTCTTTCTTGTTTGTGGCTTTTTTTATTAAATCAGAAATTAATGTCAGCATGACGTCACTGCCATGTGTCCGGCCTGGGGCCTGTGAGGGGCAGTACCAGGAAACGTCACAGTTGGGGTGGGAGGGACTGACCAGGATGTCATGTGTACAATATGAGGGTATCTTTTGTGATGTCACCATGTCAGTCACATGGGGTGGGATTGTCTATGACATCACCTGGGGTGGGCATGTCTGTGATGTCATCCTATCAGTCACCTATGGTAGGCGTGTCTATGAGGTCATCCTGTCACCTGGCTGTGGGTGTGTCTGTGACATCATACACTCACATGATTCCAAGAACCAGTCACATGATTCCAAGCGAGTCAGGGGGATGACTCAGATCTCACAGGCCAGGCAAGCTGGACACCCAGGGGCATCCCAGGAAGGGTCCACGTGGGTCATGTGACCCACTCAGTCTGGCTGGCTAGGGGTTTCATTGACAGCAGAAAATGGAAGCTGAGGCCATGGGCGGCAGGTGATTGACAGGTGGCTCTGGACTTCTGGTCTGGGCCAGTAAAGCCAGATGTGATGGACTGTGGGGCACCAGGCCTGTTGGACCCTGGGACAGACAGACGGATGGACCAAGGGAGCTTGGTGGGCCATGTGGGACCAGTGAGTCTCGCCTCCTCCCAGAATTCTCCTCGCCAGGTCAGATCCACTAGGGAGGCCTCTGGGTCCAGGGGCCAGGGGTCAGCCATGATGTGGGCTCTGCCTCTGGCGTGCTCAGGTCAGCCCTGTCCTGCATGATTCTGACCATCATGCACCACACCAGAGCCCTGAACTAACAGCTTGCACAGTCCTCCAGGAAGAGGGAGATGGAGGTCAGTGTTTGTTGACTGACTCATGGTGAGAGTGGGCGCTTCCAGGGAGATGTCATTGGGAGGGAGCCGAGGCTAGACTCTGGTGTGAAGGGTAGATCAAGGCGATGATGGACAGGGCAAGTTTCTGGTCTTGTCAGTGGAAGCGATCCAATGTCAGTCAGTGAAAACCAAGATGCCAGGCTGGAGGCTGAGGTCAAACTGAGGGACCGGAAGTTGCAGGTGTGGTCCTGTCTTCAGGACATTGATTGACAGGCCCAGCGGCAGTCAATCTAGTTCTCTACCCACTGGCTGGAAGTTTTCAGTCCTGGGAGGAGGAAACGATTGGGTGTCAGTCAATGAATACCAAGATGGTGGCCAGGAAGCTGACCTCACACTGAGGACCGGAAATTGCGGAAACGGTATTGCCCTTTGCGAACCTGACCCTTGGTGCCAGGAGGAAGCCTCTCATATGGAATGCCATTGTTGACATCATGGGGCAGAAATACTACATCATCACCCTGGAGAAACTGCGCCCCCTCGTGGAGCCTCTGGTGAGCTGGAGGGAAGGTGCAGGGAGAAGGGGCCCTGAACCCAGAGCCAGTGAGAGAAACCCACCCTGAACCCAGAGCCAGTGAGAGAAGTACACCCTGAACCAGAGCCAGTGAGAGAAGCACACCCTGAACCAGATCCAGTGAGAGAAGCACACCCTGAACCAGAGCCAGTGAGAGAAGCACACCCTGAACCCAGAGCCAGTGAGAGAAGCACACCCTGAACCAGAGCCAGTGAGAGAAGCAAACCCTGAACCCAGAGCCAGTGAGAGAAGCACACCCTGAACCCAGATCCAGTGAGAGAAGCAAACCCTGAACCCAGAGCCAGTGAGAGAAGCACACCCTGAACCCAGAGCCAGTGAGAGAAGCACACCCTGAACCCAGAGCCATCTCTGCCTCTGACCAAGTACACCAACCAATCCCGGAGCAGGGAAGCTAACCAATCCCGGAGCAGGAAAGCTAACCAATCCCCGAGCAGGGAAGCTAACCAATCCCCGAGCAGGGAAGCTAACCAATCCCCGAGCAGGAACCCTGCTCCCTGGAGAAGCTCCGCCCCTAAGAAGCCCGGGAGAAGCCCGTCTGCCTGTCCGGGTGTGGGCTGCGCTTTCCCACCCTGGCAGGGGCAGCCGCTCGCCTGGGTGAAGATCTTCATTCACCTGTGCAGCGGAGCAGAGCACAAGAGCCTTGCTGAGGCGTCCCTTAGGGGGACTGAGCAGGACTGAGCAGGAAAAGCAGCACTTTCCCGCAGATTCGAGGAGGCCCTCCATTTCTGCAGGCTTCCCCTTGAGCAGGCTGAAGCTGAGGAAGAGAAGCCGCGGCAGAGCTGGGCTGGGAAGTCCTTCAGGGGTGGAGCAAAGCTCCAGGAGAGGAGCGGGGTTGCTACATCCTGTGGGCGCCCATTCCCTCCCTCGGGCACCCGGCTGCAGGTGTCACCTGGCTCCAGACAGCCGGGGTACCTCTCCTCCAGAGCCGGAACACGGGCAGAAGGGCAGGTGAGGGGCAGGGCACAGAGAACACTTCTGGGTCACTTGACTGTGACTGAACTGGAAGCAGGGGAGGAAAGATTAAGATTCCAGTTGTCAATCCACCCTCGGGACACGCCCACAGCCTTCCTGTCAGTCATCGCTCAGGACACGCCCACAGCGTTCCTGTCAATCATCCCTCAGGACATGCCCACAGCCTTCCTGTCAGTCATCGCTCAGGACACGCCCACAGCCTTCCTGTCAATGCACCCTCAGGACACGCCCACAGCTTTCCTGTCAATCACTCAGGACATACCCACAGCCCCTATCAATCATCGCTCAGAACACGCCCAGAAAAATAGCTACTCAGCATCTAGCACTCTACCCACTGGGCATCCAGCACTCTCCCTACTGAGTCATCAGTACTCTACCCACTGAGCAGCGAGCACTCAGTTGCCTCCGGTGCAGGAACCTGGATTTTCCCCCTCTCCCTGCGCCTCCCCCACCCCCGTCACTTCCCCAGCTCCATCGCCCCCCACACCCTCCTCCTCTTATTATTATTTTTTTCTCCCTTTCTTCTTTTCTGAGTCATTATTTTTATTCTTCATTTCACGAGCGCTCCCCACGTAGCCCTCACTTTCGGTCCGCCCCGGGGACTGTGAGGACATACCCCCTCCCCCTCCCCCTCCCTCCCATCCACGCGGCCCCCCTTCACTCTACCCACAATCCTCTGCGCCTCCTTTTCTTCTTTAACTTCTGGGAGAAACTGAGTCTATTATTTGGGGTTGGGGGAGATGCGGATGATGCCAGTCGCGGGGAGGTAACTATCCACAGAAGTCAGGCTTGGGGGTGGCGGCTCCCAGCATGCTCTGGCGCCTTGCCCAAGTTTCAGGTGGGATGTTGAGGGAGTTTTTGCTTGGTTGCTCGGGTTCGTCCGCAGTCGGCGTGCGACCCCTGCTGCTCACCAGAGGGTTTGCACCCGGCCCTGATTCTGTCTGAGGCTAGGGAGTTGGGGGGGGGTGGGAAATGTGGGTGCTTGGCTTGGTACTACCAGTGGGTTGAGTGCTGAGTGCTTAGTACTCACTACAGTGTTTAGTGTTTAGCAGAAAGACCTTGGCAGTGGGTGCTGAGTGCTTAGTGCTTATTTACAAAGATCGTGGCAGTGGATTGCATAGGGTGATGGGACATGGAAAGAGTTGGCCTGGGGTGTGACTTGGTGTTTCTAATGACGTCACTGTGTCAATTATGTGGGTCTCCGATGTAGAAAAGGGGTTATGAGTGCTTGATTTGGTACTATCAGCAGGTGGATGATGAGTACTTAGTACTTAGTAGGAAGACCTTGGGAGTGGCTCGCATAGGATGATGGGTGAAGGTGAGAATTGGCCTGGGGTGGGCCGAGTTGTCTCTAGTGATGTAATTGCATAAATCACGTGGGTCTGAGACATACGAAAGGGGCTATGGATGCTGAGTTTAGTACTCATTAGTGTTCAGTACTTAGCAGAAAGACCATGGCAGTGTGTGCTGAGTGCTCAGAGCTTATTTACAAAGGCCTTGTCAGTGGATCGCATAGGATGATGGGAGATGGTAAGGGTGAGAGGTGACTTGGGGTGGAACTTGGTGTCTCATGACGTCATTATGTCAATCTCGTGGGTCTAGGACTTAGGGCAGTGGCTGTGGGTGCTTGGCTCCTTACTATCAGCGGGGTTGGTGCTGAGTGCTTAGTGATTAGTGGGAAGACCATGGCATGTGCTGAGTAGTTGGTACAAAGACTATGGCAGTGCTGAGTGCTTAGTACAAAGACTATGGCAGTGGTTGCTGGGTGCTTACTGTTGTACCCAGAGTCCCCCAAAGACCACCAAGACACCAAATTCGATGCAAAAGCAAAGAGTCTTTTTTATTTCAAATTAACCTGGGACTTCTCCGGGCGTCTGATGCAGCAGCAGAACAGGGGAGACCCCAAGGAGCAAGGGGGCGGGGTATTTACAGGGGGTAAAGCAAGGGGGGTTGGGGGTCACAGACGGCATGGGAACAGACTCGGGATTGGTTTATTCGAGTGTCAATCATGTTAGTGACGTTTAATAGGCTGGGTCAGTTGGGGGGGTCACAGTTACCATTCTAGGGCAGGCCTGGACAAGTCCCAGACTGTCCTTGAGCTGCCACGGGCTGGCTGGCCCAGCAGTACTGACTGTGGGGCTGCTCAGTGACTGTCTCCCTGTCCCTGCCGGCGGGGGCATCAGTGATTGTCTTTTGTTCATGGCCCTCCCAGAAACTGTTTGCTCAAGTCTCAGGAACCTGGAATTGAGGCCTGATCTCCGAGAGAAGACTGAGCAGCCTGTTATGGCGTCTGCCTGGTCCTTTCACTTTCTACTCAGTAGAAAGACTGTGGCAGTGCCACGCATAGGGTGATGGGAGATGAAGGTGAGAGGTGGCGGGGTGTGACTTGGTGTCTCTCATGATGTCAGTTATTCTGTCAATCACGTGGGTCTGGGACCTAGGGCAGGGGCTGTGGGTGCTTGACTTGGTACTATCAGCAGTTGGGTGGGTGCTGAGTGCTTAGTACTTAGTACATGGACTACAGCAGTGCAGCGGAAAGGACCATGGGAGACTGTAGGGCTGAGTGGTCTGTGGTGACATCATGCTGTCAATCACATGTGGCAGTTCTTTGCTCTAGGGGGTTGGAATGGGTCCCAGGGACCTT